GTTTTGCCTTTTTTTTTCATTTGCAGCGGCACGGGCTACCTCTCTTCATTTGAATTTTTATATCACAGGTACCCTCTCATTTTTTAACACATACGTACCCACAAGGTACGACATATGCTTTTATTTGGGTTAACCGTTAAGTATGTAATATTTACATAAAAGTAAGAAATATTTCATACCTATTTAACGATTAACGCAAATAAAAGCATATGTTGTGCCATGAGGGTACGCTGCAAAACCGAAAGTATGGTGTTTTTATGAATTTTACATTTTTTTTTTGACAATATACTGCCATTTGTCCGAAGATGATATGTAAATGAACATATTAAATATGTATGATGCATATATAATCAAGCCCACGGTTCATTGCAGCCCGAAAAGTATGTCGAGGTGATGGGCGAAGCAAGACATGTCGATTTTTTGTAGCTTATTGTGAAGTTGCAGTACACGAAAAACGGGCACATGACAAATCAGCACATAGATAAAACATTCTAGTGTTCCGTGGTATATATCTTTTGTACCTGTCAAACCCCCTTTCCTTATTACATTGAAATTTTACTGGATTGTTATCCATCGCTGGTTTGTTTTTAGCAGAGAATAACCTGTGCATGTGTAAAGAGGGTGCCGTTTGAGCAGATTTCGCAAAGAAGGTACCGATATAGATATGCACCGTGGTGTAGCTTTAGGACGAATGATTTCATAATATTATTTGATGTGTACATAAAAACAAAATGTACAAAAATGGTCCCAAGAAATGGTTATAAAATGAATATTGCATGTTTGGCTGAAGATGCCTTTTTAGTAGTTTTCTTTAAAAAATGAAAAAAAAAGTTTATTAATATCTTCTATGACAAACAATTCATTTGATTTTATAACCATTTCTTGGGACATTTTTTGTACATTTTGTTTTTATGTACTCATCAATTAATATTATGAAATCATTCGCCCTAAAGCTAAACTCTCACAGATTGACAGACTAGACAGTTTTGCCTTTTTTTTCTTTTTTTCTCAGAATCAGCTGATTTTGGCAGCAGTTCCTTCAGTTTAGCTGACACTGTGAACAAGAACCTGGGGCCATAAAGCATCTTAGTGAATAATTTCAACTTAGTGAAAAAAGACATTTTTGACAAGTTGATTTTAAAAAATCTAACGTGTGTACAAAATTAGTTTGAAAATAGGCAAGAAAATGTCCTAATTAATAGAAACACATTAAAAATGTTTGGAAGATCACAGGTATTGGAAATAAGCCATGTCAGAAAATATTTTAATAAGAAATTTTTTATGGCCAAAACACTTTGAACAATGTCGAACAACTGTTCTATTTTATAATTATTTTGTTGATGAATAAAAATAAATTCTTAAACCATTGATTTGGAAATGTGCAACTTGTCATTGTCAGCTGTAAATATAATTTGACCTACAGAGTTTCATTAATAAATATAGAAATTGGTTAAATCGTTTTGTATATTTTTTCCATGAGTGCAAATGGAAATTTTAAAACAAAGGGACGTAACTTGGTAAACTGAATCCGAACCGCAATACGGACTTTACCGAGAATATAACTGTAGCGCCACCTGTTAGCATAATTTTGGTGTCACATATTATTACACCAGATGTCGCGTTGTATTATGCTTGCTGCATTCGGCTTTCGGCTATGCGCATTCTACCTTATGACATTCGTCATTCAAGCTGAGTAAATAGACCCAAATACAAACAGTTGCAGGTTAATTTATTGAATTAATATACCAGATCAACAAATGAATAATAATTGATCGTTAAATAACGACATCAACATAAAAGTAAGCAAGTCGCACACAGCAGAAAGCATAATGTGCATGTAAGAAAGCAACATGTAAAAGTCAGAATGCAAGATGTATATGTCAGAATGCATAATGTACAGGTTAGAAAGCACGATGTACAAGTTAGAAAGCACGATGTAACGTAAGAAAGCAAGATGTAATTTTGGCATAAATCACCCTCCATACATAATGCTGATCTACATGTGAAGCTGTGCACCTTGGGTTTTGCGTGTGGATTATTTCAGATTTGAAAGAGTAATTGCCTTTGACTATATGTATAAATTTACAATTTTCAAATTGTGTGACGCATAGTATTTGACCTTAATTTTATAATCATGACATGTTTTGATTTAACTAAAACTGAAGATGTTTATCGGAATAGATGCTAAGAAATGTAAATTTTTATATCGACCGTTACATAGAAAATTTAACTTCTGTCTTATTTTTAACTTTACTTACATGCGTTCGTTATAGTTCATGCCTAACAAAAAAATGTTTGTTTCCAGTGAGTCTGTGACATGGTTTTAAAAAATAGGGCAGGTAGGTAGGCATTTTTTTACGCAGTGATCTCCCTTTATCAGTACAATCTACCAAGGGAGGTAATCACTGTGAGAGAAGTTTGCCATATCCAGTGATCTCCCTTTATCAGTACAATCTGGTGGTACCGTACAATCTACCAAGGGAGATAATCACTGTGAGGAGTTTGCCCAATTAGTTTGGTTCCATGCCTACTATTCTGCGATTGATGAAAAGGTTGCAGTTTACTTTCGCTTTAATGAAAATGGAAAGCATTTATGATGGGCGGATACAGAACATGGTTTCTTGGGGGCGGCGGGGGGGGGGGGTGCTGGCATATGGGTGGAAGATTTTGACAAAAGTAATGCTACAAGCGAAAATTGTGCATGTTTGAAGATTGGGCCAATATCTTGTTCATGTGACAAAAAAAAATGAAATTGGTGTGTTTTATAGCTCATCTTATGAGTGGCAATGTACTTTGCTTATATATGTGTATTAATGTTTTTGTAAATATTCAGATGATATCGATTTAAGAATCATTTATATATAATTGGGTGGGCCTGGGAGGGGTGTCCCCTCCCATAAATTGAAAAAAAAATATGAGATTGAAAATGGTATTATTTCCTTGACTTTCTAGTGCTGTTTATCATTATGGTACCTTTCGGATTGGAACATCACATTGTATTTTGTATAGGTTAGTGTTTGCAGGGTATCCTTTCAAATAGAATTCCCCTGGTGTTTCAGTATTAAAGATCCTGTAACACATTATTTTTATGGTTTTATATACAAATTATGATGCTCAAATTAAGATGTATCGATATTGTAAGTTTCAAAAAACATTATTTATAAAGATATTACCGAATTTAATATTTCATGTAAATAAAGGGAGGTAATTAGAATTTAGTTTTCTATAAATTCTAAGTCAATTTTTCCAATAAGAAATGAATGCATATAATTTAATGATTACCTTAAAGATGTACACATATTTGCAATACATTTTTACATATTCTTCCATGTTTGAAAATTGACAAATTTGCATAATTACATACATATATAATTCAATGAAGAGTGGTATGCAATCTCAATAAATTTTATTACAAAACATACAGGATCTTTAAGCATTTACAAAATAACAGCACACTTACCAAATGTATGCGCGAGTGTTGATCAATTTACTCATCAGAATAATAGGTGCATGATGTTCCAAAGTAAAGTGAATATTAAAATACTGCCTTTCTATTGTACAAAAAAAATTCAAACACTAATATTCAATAAGAATTTTATCCATCAATGAATCCATTCAAGCACAGATATACATACAATACTAATTGAACTCCATGACTCAAGATACTAAAGAGGTCGGTACAATTTAAATTTAATTTAAGAAAAATATAACTGCCATAAAAAGTTATTAAAGCAAATAACCAATCATTTCATCTTAATAAAAAACGTAGTAAAACCAGAGACATAGATAAAAGAGATAGGTAACTTCCTAGCCAGTTAAAATATCACGCGCGTGCCTGCTAAACTTAAAACTTGTAGCACGTATATTAACTACGTACCTAGTAAAACTTATTAACTAGATTAACTATAATACATTTTCTGAAAGCTTATGCATTTGTCTATGGCTGCAGGTAAAAATATTTACAGTACCCATTTAAATAAATGATACATCAATTTTTAAAGAGAACTACTTAATAATTCTTGTTACAAAACTATTCATGGAAAAAAAAAACTGGCTCAGTGGGTATGTTCTGCTATGTTTTTCCAAGTGAAAGGTATGGAAAGTTACCAATATTATAACATGCAGCAATAGATAGTGATTTACCTTTCAATTGGTATATAATAATAAAGGATCAAATGTACATCCATTAAGTTTTATTTGCTACAAAATGCCTATTTTTTTACTTTTTGATAGGCATGAGTGATGTTTCAATGGAGTATATATAATAGTAGCTGCTTAATTATCTCTGTTATCTATGTCTCTGGTAAAACTACCGGTAGTTATAAAAACGCGATATACAATCTTTATAAAACTCGCCATCTTTTTAATTTGCAAAAAATAATTTTCAATTTCTAATTTTAGGGCTTTTGCAAAGAAAATGGATAAGATAAAAAGATAGTAAAATATGGTGCACAATGTAACACATCTATTTGCCACTATCTGTGAAATAACTTCATTAGACCCCCCCCCCCCCCCCCCTTTGGAAAGTAATAAACCAATCAATTATGTAGTTATGAAGCCCGGGCATGAATCCGCCACTGTTTATACATTTTTACCCCCACCCCACCCCTCCATATAACATTTCAATTAACATTTAACCAGAGACATAAATAGTAAGATATCGTAATTTGTTTTGACACGGTCTCTAATTGTCAATTACATGGATCCATGTACAGTACTGTACAGTAGTTTTATTAGTCATGTATATATTTCAGCACGGATTTGTAAATCCGTGATTTGAGTAAGACTTTCTCTGCAGTCGGAAAGACCCATGCTTGAAAATACAAAACAATAACAACAAAATATATCTTATTTAGACTTTGCCCGAGGGTTAATTCGAAAGCGAAAATATAAACATGTTTTGATCGTATCATAGCTGCATGCAGTAAAATGTCACATGACTAAAATCGACCAGTGGATGCTTTGATTCACCTGACGTCACGTTAACTCCGCCCACATGTGTGTATTTCCTGTAATGGCTGACCAAAGCAACGTAGGACGTTTTAGATAGATTAATTGGATATTCTTTCAAGTTTTCATAGCTTTGGGAGGCCGATGGCAAACGTACAGCCTTCCAATCAACAAGTTGGAGAAATGGTTGGTTATAAATTAACATTTGAGAGGCCATTATGTCGCCTTTTTCGATAATTATCCTTAGAAACAACACGACTGTCTTTTCGTTTTGATATTGTCTGTTTGGGGCAGTTCGTCAACTGTCAAATTATAAGTGTTTTTTTGTTGTTGTCGTTTTATTCTATGTCACTCACAGATAATGCATACTTAAAATTATTTCCTGCTTGCCGTAAACTTTAAAGTATGTCAGCGGTCAAGGGTACAGAAAAAAAATTCTGTACTATTTGGTAAATTGAACTGTGTAATGACTTAGATTTTTTTATTTACATTCTGTTTAAGTTAATTACAGATCTTGCAGAGTTAACATTTACAAAAATACAAGAAAAAGATCCCAAGCAAGGGTTTGACTCAATAGAAAACAGATAGACAAAGTGGCATGGCATGCCAAACAGTGTTCTAAATTAGCAGTATTCCAATAGCCCCTGACTACCTAAATTTCTCTCTACGGACCACCAACTTTTCACAGTAACAAGCCCGACCAGGCTACCATATTTTCAGAGGCAATATCAACAACTGTTTTGAACAAATGAATCATGATAGTGAAATGTCTTTTGGGATAGTTAATATACCAATCTGGTAGTCCGACCAGCCTAGTGGATTCAAATCCAAATTTCATACACTGCATGGCCAAAGCTAAATTCTTAGATATTTTGATTCTTGGTCAAAGATAAAAAAACATAAAAGTACATACATCTCAATACTGGTCAGGGACCATCAACCGGACATGTTTTGAACAATTTATCATTCAGATATTTCACAATTTTAAAAGGTAGATACATGTATGGAAAATTATACACAGTTAAGTTAGTTCTTCTGAATTGACCTCACTACAGTACATATGTCATCACGACAGATATGTATGACTTTAATCTAGATAATCATAATGCAGGGTTTGCACAGGTCTTAAAAAGTACTTGAAAACGATCTCTGTCTTGGAAAGTGCTTGAATTAAGGAATCGTCCTTGAAAAAGTGCTTAAAAACGGCTTGATTTTAAAAAAATCTCCGTGAAACTCTCTGATTCTCTTTTAAAATTAAGAGTGATCATCAATTAACTAAAAAATTTAAACCATTTTTTTCAAAAGGAAGGGAAAACTTTGCTGAAAATTTTTTTATTTACCAATGTTTATTTATGTTTATGAATGTTAATGAGTACGAAATGAACAGAAAACGTGTCCTATCAATTGTCAGTATTCCCCAGGTTGTCGCACAGCCTGTACGGACAAGTGAAAATTGTGAAGAATAAATAAATGTAAATATCATACGGACAAGTTAAAAATGCTTCACATAATAACAGACAAGTAAGTCAAAATCAGATTTTGCCGGCCCTGCATGTACAAATAAATAGCGTTCAGGGCTCATCACGATTGAGTTGGCACACATTCTCGGCATTGTATCCCCATTTCAATCTTTTGAGCATCAAAGGTAAATCCACTTTACCAAGAATGTATTATATCACATGCGATTATTGCATGATGATGCTGTGTGGAGGATTGTAACCACCTATTTTCCGTTTTTTACTTTGGAATAAACCAATATGAATTGATAACATCCATGATGACAGGCAATGATTAATATTTTTTTTAAGACAATATGGTCATTTTGATTAAATGGTAAAAAATTTCGTAAACCTTTACGAATGAAAATCGAAACGGATCCGTTTAACCGTGTAACCGTGGGGGCCTTACCTGCCACTAGGACATTCTGATTGGGCTCTGTATAACTATAAGCTCAACATTGGAAGCCTTTAGCATTAAAGGAACTCCACTGAGGTTTTTTTGACGTGAAGGGACCGAAATTTTTTTTTTTCAAGATTTTTGTATAACTAGATGTAATACTATGTCTAGACCAATAACTTGTGTACAAAATTTCAAATTCAATCGCTCCACTTCGCTTCACAAAATACTCCATTTTAATGTGGTCAAATTGGCCCAAAAAAAAACATGATTCGTTGCAATGCTTTTCACTCAAATCACTAAAATTCTCATAGAAAATTTGATTATCAATTTGATACCGTGTATATTTTATATCATCTATTGCTTGGTTTCATTTAAGTGTACCAGTTGATTTAAGTATTTTAAGAAAGAATTTAAAACAGAAATACTCAATTTTATTGGTCAAATTGGCCCAAAAAAATAAGAACTGTTGCAATGCTTTTCACTCAAATCAGCTAAAATTCTCATAGAAATCGATTATCTATTTAATACCGTGTATATTTATATCATCTATTGCTTGGTTTCATTTAAGTGTACCTTTTGATTTAAGTATTTTAAGAATATATTTTAGGCTATTAGACCTCAGTGGAGTTCCTTTAAGTAGAAATATTATTATTAATATTCCTATTTCAAAGCTAGGACTATCCATTACACAAATTAAATAAATTGCAGGGCTCACACTGGCTCAAATAAAATAATAGCCAATAATTTTAACTTAAAAAAATAATAGCCAAACGTTCAGCGGACTATTCACGAATTAGCGATTAACAACATAAGCAGTTGATTAAATAAACATTACATTTATATCTTTCAGTTTTATAAGGATTCTCAAATAAACTGATACATTTGTGTATATTGATAACTACCTTTTTTTAAATAGAACCACAACTTTAATTGTTATTATAGAACAGAATAAAAACGTTATAATTAGTATAATTACTGTATAACAATAATATTAAAGATACATTATAACTTTACATAATGCTGTTATCAGACAACTTTTTTTGTTTGTTCTAATCAAATTTTGTCAGCTATAACCACTGTCAATTTCCACATTTCACACAGAACTGGAGTAGATCGAGGTCATATTAGCCTATAGAAACAACACAAGTTTGCAAACTCATTCATGCAGCCTTTTTTCTGAATAATTTACCTGAAAAATATCATCATCAACAATGTAATACAAATTTTCTGCCATAGTAGTAAAGATTTTTTAAACAGAACATAGCTTATTTCACCTTTAAATAAATATCAAAATTATCGTGTCGCGAAAATATGTGACAATCGGATTTTTCCTGTTTTCTGAAGAAATATTCACAAATTTGGTTGTTGTGCAAATAAATGTTTGGAATTTAATACTTTTTAAATATTTTACCATTGTTTTCCACTGGCGATTTTAGTCAAGTAGCTTAAAACAAAAAAATTAAAAATTTGCAATTACTGGAATTCACGGTAAATTTTGGGTAAGTCAATATCCAGTTTATCAATTTAAAACGATTTTTTGTGGCTAATTGACGGATATTGATGGCTATTATAAATGCTGGACAATATCTTTAAAGTACTTATACAATTATACATCTCGCATGTATTTATCACCTCGGGCAATATAGTAAGCAGCACGTGACCGGTAAAAAGTTGACACTCAATTAAATGCACCCACCCGCTGGTGTTAATTGGGTCTACTGCATTCATTATCGATTTTTACACCTTATATAAACACTGTTGGAAGTAAAATATAATCGCCAGATTTTGTAGCCAAAATGCAAAAATAATCGCCAATCTTGTAAAATAATCGCAAATGGCGACTATGGCGACCGACAGCGTGAGCCCTGAATTGGTTTTAAACATATTTATTTAAGCTTGATTGCATGTTGGATACAAGTTCCTGCAACTTATATTGATCACTTTCGAGTCCGCTTCCTGGAACCAACCAGTACTGGTGTCATGTGAAGAAACATGGTCGTGCCCCTATTATGCTAGAACCCATTGTCCCTGAACAGGTTAAGGGTAAAACTTATAATGTCTGAAGGAACGTCAGTGTCACCAGAAAGAAGGAAGTTCTTTTAAAAAATGAGGAAGTAAAGTGAGGCCATTTAGTTAAATTTCTTAAATTCTGATCATTTAAAAAACAACATTCCTTCCTTCCTTCCTTCCTTTCCTTCCTTCCTTTCCTTCCTTCCTTCCTTCCTTCCTTCCTTCCTTCCTTCCTTCCTTCCTTCCTCCTTCCTTCCTTCCTTCCTTCTTCCTTCCTTCCTTCCTTCCTTCCTTCCTTCCTTCCTTCCTTCCTTCCTTCCTTCCTTCCTTCCCTCCCTCCCTCCTCCTCCCTCCCTCCCTCCCTCCCTCCCTCCCTCCCTCCCTCCCTCCCTCCTTCCTTCCTTCCTTCCTTCCTTCCTTTCCTTCCTTCCTTCCTTCCTTCCTTCCTTCCTTCCTTCCTTCCTTCCTTCCTTCCTTCCTTCCTTCCTTCCTTCCTTCCTTCCTTCCTTCCTTCCTTCCTTCCTTCCTTCCTTCCTTCCTTCCTTCCTTCCTTTCCTTCCTTCCTTCCTTCCTTCCTTCCTTCCTTCCTTCCTTCCTTCCTTCCTTCCTTCCTTCCATCCTTCCTTCCTTCCTTCCTTCCTTCCTTCATACACATGAATGCACACATGTCAAAATAAAAATAGATAAGTCAATTAAATTAAAATGATAAAATGAAAATTAAAATGTTATTTCATAATTATTACCTTACTTAATTTTATTGTTTTCAAACCAACCACCCATCAACCTCCCAAGTGATTACTCCCACCCCCAGTCCCCTGCTAGTTACCCCCATTGAAAAAAACAACAACATGTAATTTGAAGTAAAAATAAAGAAGGTTTGCATTTAATTTGTGGCCTACATCTCGTAAACTTAATCAATATATGAGCCGCGTCATGACGAAACCGACATAATGGGTTTGCGACCAGCATGGATCCAGACCAGCCTGAGCATCCGCGCAGTCTGATCAGGATCCATGCTGTTCGCCTACAGACCCTATAAAAAGTAGAGAAACTGATAGCGAACAGCATTGATCCTGATCAGACTGCACGGATGCGCAGGCTGGTCTGGATCCATGCTGGTCGCAAACCCATTATGTTGGTTTTGTCGTGACATGGCTCATATTCAAAATTATATAAAGTTTTTAAAACCACCTGCATTGAAACCATATAAATGCCTCAGGGTAACCAGTGTGTACATTAAATGAAAAATCTTTTATATCTATTTTCATTCTTAAACATGCTAATAAAAATGAGGATTGATAAATAAATGTTGAACTACATTGAACATAGGAGTAATTTTCTTGACATCATTTTGTTTATAGACATGATACATTATGAAGTCATATGTGTGTGTATTTGCGTTTATTTATACTCGCCACCGGTTGCCCATATGGGCGAGTCCTCCAGAAGAGTATTAGTCATGTTAGATTTTTGGAGGATAGTGCAATTACAGATACAGAAAGATGCCCCAATTCCAGAAGCTTCTCCTGGTTCTTTAGCGTGCCAAGTGTTTAAGCACCCATACACGGGACCTCGATTTAAAGTCTCATCCGAAAGACTGATTGGTTATTTTAGTTGGCCAGTCCGGGAATCGAACCCACAATGTCGAGATTACAAGTCTCGCGCTCTAACCGATTGAGCTATGCGGGCTGAGGTGTTAGCATTCTATTTTATGGTGTGCATATATCGTCCAGTGATTTTTTTGGCTTATTTTATAGCCGATTTTCGGTCATATTCCCAATTGAAAATAGTATAGTATTTTCCCAATTCACAGGAAAAATTTCCAAATTGCAAGTTACAAAATAAAAATATTGGACAACAAATTCTAAAATCTTTGAAAATAAGGGCTTCATCACTGTAATTGTTCCCCTTTGTGGGCCTATTATTATTTTCTTTGAATTCCTAATCAGTTACAAATTATTTATCATTTAATGATTAACCTGTCTTTGCCCTGTCCTTTTTATGTTTGGGGTCCGCCTGGGCTCCTTCCCATTGGTTCTTGTTGCTGGGTCATATGGGGGTTGCGTTCATTGAACGCCGCCTTTCCTTGTTGATCTTGTTTATCATATTTTAAATGTTTGAAGAAGTGATTCTTTGCATTCATTTAATCACTGCAAAATTAAAGTCCCAAATTTTAACAAAACATCGCTGAAATTCCCAATTCCATGGGCCATGTTCCCAAATTCCTGGGAAAAAAACCCTGATCGTGTAACTTCAATGCACCAATGCTTGCCCTATCTGTTTGATACTGTGATAGGGCAGTGGTGTTAGAATTAATTTTCTTGCATATCAGACAGGATTATCTACGGTTTTAAACCATGCTAGAAAAACCTGACTTACACCCACCATGTAAGACAAATCGTGTGTTTTAAATGACGTCATTCCCACGCGCCTTTTATGAATGAATTGTGTCTTTAGGGTGACGTCATGGTTACATGAGGTTGTAAATTCATACGCTACTATTACAAAAAAGTGCTAAAAGAAATAATTAGTTTCGTAACTTCTTTTTGTAATATCATTAATTTGTTATATGCAAGAAAAAGAATTAAACATCAGCTGTTTTAAATAAATTTTAAAATATTTAAAGGGACTCCACTGAGGTTGTTTGACATGACGGGACTGGAAATAATTTTTTGAGATTAATACTTCATTTGATGTAGATCTATACTAATAACTTATGAGCAAAATTTCAGATCATTAGCTCGCTCTGTGTTTTCTTGAATAATTATTATAATAGTGAAAAATGACCCAAAATTGAAAAGCGTTTAAACGCTTTTCACTCAAATCCGACTGAGAAAAGCACAAACATATGACTTTCAATGTATTTCTTGTGTTATATTTTATTAATATTTCTGTTTAAAGTGCTCATGTTTATCTATGTGAAAAATTAAAATGTTATGCTTTAGGCTTTTAAACCTCAGTGGAGTTCCTGTAATGAATATTAGGATCTGAAGACTTCTTAAAGAGTAAATGATAAGAGTCTATATTGCACATAATGAAAAAAAGTTTTGATTTCCCGATTCCTCCAAGTTAAGTTGATAAACTGATTGATTTCGGCAATTAGATGATCTTACAAAGCCAAATTTCCCAAACTGGACTAAATCCTTTTTCCCAAAATGGCTAGGAAAAGCCCAAGCTTCTTTATCTGTTGAAGTCATATTCTCTTTTACTTGATTGATTACATTGTTTAGGATAGAATAATCAAATTATCAATAACAACATGTGAATTTTGATTAATTGTTATTTGATTTTTTTGATACAAAGTTAATTTTGAGGAAATTCGCAACAGCCGAAATGTGGACTAGTTGGAATTTTTTCAAAATGGCTTATATTAATTTTTTAAATATATAAAAAAAATTATGATCAGTACATGTGCTGGGATTGACAAATATGCATTTTATTTGGATTTTAAAGGCGTTTTGAGCTCCAAACCCCAAGTGTCTGTGGGTAATATATTTACAAAATTTAATAATGCTTATTGGAACTTACAATATTGATAAATCTTTATTTGAGAATTATTTTATGATATAAAAACATAAAAAAAATTGAGTTAGAAGATCTTTAAATGATTTCAGTTCACTTCATGAGTTTGTGTACTTACCGTAAAATTCCTAATAAACACCCTCCCCTAATAAAGCCCCCCCCCCCCAGGCCTTTTGATAAGGAAAACAATCTACTCATCAGAGCTGAACTCATAATTAAAAACTATATATTATTCAAATCATTCAGAATCCATTTTTAATTTTATAGTAAGCACAAATATGTATACTGTAATATCAACTTTTAAACACTTTCTAATGTTATTACCAACACTTGCTAACACTAAATGCATTTACGGTGATTTTTGGATTTAGGAAAAACTGTGTTGTAAAAATAGCCCCAATTTGGAAAATGTTTAGCCCCCGGGGGCGTTAAATAGGAATATTACATTATTTAGATATTGTTCATTCTTTTAATTTAAGGAGAGTTTGTGTACTTATTTAGATATTGTTCATTCTTTTAATTTAAGGAGAGTTTGTCAAACATGCTGTCACCTGAGGCGAAAGAATTCGTTCCACGGCAATTCTCCGGCATGCCAGGTATATCAGGTCCGTTAACAGACGGCTTGTTGGGTCCTGGACCCGGAAAAGATCAGTCCGGTGTGAACGGGTTACCAAGTTATATTACCACATGCTATCCTTTTGTTAATGCTGGAGAGCCAAGGTAAGTTACTTTATTTAGAAATACTACTTTCTATATTTAGATACGAGAGTTGCTAAAATTAGCTTACCTTTTTGTTAAAAATTGAGAGCCTAAGGCCTCTTCCCAATTAAATGAGAAAAAAAATCACTGTTTTATGTTTGCATTTATTTAGGCAGTCATTCATTTGTTTTCATATGTGTTTCAGATTTGGTGGTGTAAGACCGATACATAGATTTGCTTTTATATGTGTTTCAGATTTGGTGGTGTAAGACCGATACATAGATTTGCTCTTATGTGTGTTTCAGATTTGGTGGTGTAAGACTGATACTTAGATTTGCTCTTATATGTGTTTCAGATTTGGTGGTGTAAGACCGATACATAGATTTGCTCTTATGTGTGTTTCAGATTTGGTGGTGTAAGACTGATACATAGATTTGCTCTTATGTGTGTTTCAGATTTGGTGGTGTAAGACTGATACTTAGATTTGCTCTTATATGTGTTTCAGATTTGGTGGTGTAAGACCGATACATAGATTTGCTCTTATATGTGTTTCAGATTTGGTGGTGTAAGACCATGACAGATTTGCTCTTATATGTGTTTCAGTTTTTGTGGTGTAAGACTGATACATAGATTTGCTCTTATGTGTGTTTCAGATTTGGTGGTGTAAGACCGATACATAGATTTGCTCTTATATGTGTTTCAGATTTGGTTGTGTAAGACTGATACATAGATTTGCTTTTATATGTGTTTCAGATTTGGTGGTGTAAGACCAAGACATAGAGGAAAATATACGCCACAACAGGCACTGTATATGTCGCAGCAGTTTCAACATATACAGCCAGGTACGTTTTATCACAGAAATGAATTCACTATTATACTTACAGCTGCACACTTCAAGATGAGCAAAAATATTTCAAGAAAAATCAATATTGAGAAAAATGTACTAAAATTTTAAGAAAAGTAAAAACATTCAAGATCCAAATTACATTTTACATGTTATGTGCGGTTTAAGACTGATTTGGCAGAATTTTATAACCATAATTCTACTGCGTTACTAACGCAGTATGGGCTGTTTTTGCATATGATGACCACTTTTTGATATATTTCTTGTATTGTGAGTGCCGCTTGCTATATGTGATTTAGCTTTAATTTTTCACCTCACAATATTTTACTTTTAAATATATTTCAAACATTTTCATGAATATATGAAAAATGAAATGTTAACAATGGTGGGACAGACTTTAATTGGTCTACTTAGTTTTAAACTGAAACAAAGTTCGAACAATAGGTTAAAATTTTGTTAAGAAAGAAAAATAACAAATACTCTTCCTTTATAAAGCCTCAATCCAAAAAATATTACAAAAAGTCACCTCAGTTGAATAACTGATTAACTGGTACTAAATTTAGAAGCACTTATTACGTTACTGCTCTAAGGCGACGATTAATGCATTACCATGGCAAAACATCCTGATTTTACATTTTTATGCTCTCCTAAAAAAATTTCGGGGGAGCATAAAGTCGCCGGGTTGTCCGTCCGTCTTTCAGTTCTTCCGGCATCGTACGTACGTCCTGATTCGTGTCCGGCCGATAACTTCGTTATTTGAAGTCGGATTTTACAACTTTTTCACAGAAATGATCAGCACATCAATATGACGTGTTGCGCGTATCATTTGGGTTGTTTTTACACTTTGAACTTTGTCTGTGACATAACTCTGACACTACAAGAGGTAATTACCTTCCTGTGTGACAAGTGTCCAAAACCTATTCGGGGAGCATCACCCGGTTCAACCAGCTCTTGTTTTGTCTATTTTTACAGGTATATCTCGGAACCGATTCCCTCACCCAGGTAAAGGCTACGTTCCCACATCCGGTTGGGGCCCGACGGCCATTGGTGACATGATGCAATCGTACGGTAACGTACCGAACGGTATGCCATTTGACGGGGGTACATATCAGAACGGATTTATACATACCTCTCAGGTAAGAGAATTTTTTAAACATTTACTTTGCCGAATTTATTTAACCTTGACTTTGCCGAATTTGTTAAATCTTAACTTTGCTGAATTTGTTAAACACTTACTTTGCCGTTTCGTTTAACCTTTGCTGGATTTGTTAAACCGTTATTTAACTGAATTTGTTAAACCTTTACTTTGCCGAATTTGTTAAAACTGTACTTTGCTGAATTTGTTAAACCTGTACTTTGCTGAATTTGTTAAACCTTTATTTTGCCAAATTGTTTGTGTTAAACCTTCACTTTGCTGAATTTGTTAAACCTTTATTTTTGCTGAATTTTTTAAACCTTAACTTTGCTGAATTTGTTAAACCTTTACTTTCAATACTTTGCTAAATTTGTTAAACCTTTAATTTGCTGAATTTGTTAAACCTTTACTTTGCCGAATTTGTTAAACAATTACTTTGCTGAATTTTTTTAAACATTTACTTTGCTGCATTACAATTTGGACATTGTCAGGGCTGCTTAATGGTTAGCTCAAGTTGCTTAATGGTTAGCTCAAGTTGCTTAATGGTTAGCTAAAGTAGTAGAGTATTTGACTATGAATCAGGGGACGAGTTTGATTCCCGGCCAGTGCGGGTGACTAAAGTTTGTTGATTGATCACAAAATCCTTACTACAGCCATCTTCACTTTCTTAATGCTCTGCAGGTCACTCGTTTGGTCGTTTTTGGGGCCGAATATGGGTATCGTTCCCCTCTCAAAATCATATGTATTTTTCCCCTATCTCAGAAAAAAATCCCCTCCAAATTCTAAAATAGATCAACTTAAAGTAATTTGTTTGATTTGTTAGTCTAATACTAGCTATTGATTTCAATGGTAGGAAAATTACAAACTGGTAGGAAATAGTGTAATGAGTAAATGTGATAAAAATACACTAAAATACATGATAACATAAAATTTCGAATTTTGCCTTAAAACGACCCAAAATTCCCCTGCCTTAGGGTATGGGTACCTGTCCCCAAAAGGTGTCTGATGCCCTGCTCTGGCATGTACAGAAATAATATCCGTTCCTCTGGGAAGTGCTGGCACTAGTACTGATTAACTGCTTGGCAGCTTGCCAAGAAATGATGCGGAGGCTGATAAAGTGCTCCGTGAACCTAATATTAATACAACAAGTGGATTGCGATAGTTGTATAATTTGTAGCATGCGTCAACTACTTTGATGGGGGTGAAATTCTCTCAATCTTTGAAAGGAGCTATATTATTATGTATAAATGGGTGAACAAATTGTCAAATCTTAACAAGAATATAACAATGATTAATGTGAAACCCTGTGTTAAATACCACCTCTGAATACAGAGGAGGTTCCGAATAACATTCTATTTAGAACTTTTATCATCAAATTTCAACTTTGAATAGTCTTTATACAGAATAGGAGAAATGACTGCATGTTGTGGCATTGTATAGGTCAAAATTATGTTGAAAATAAGAGCCTATCACTAAGGTACAATTAAATCACTAGACCACTTGTACCCGTTCATGCACACAGAAGGGCACCTGAGGTCTTTCTCCAACATTGAAACAGGAACATTGCCATATAACCTACACTGTGTCGATGTGACGTAAAACCCAATAAAACAAACAATATACCCAAGCCGCTATTTACAAACAGTCGTTTATACAGGGCTATATATCATGTCAACAATCTAAATAACTTATAATATAAATGAGCCGCGTCATGACAAAACCAACATAATGGGTTTTAGATCAGCATGGATCTAGACCAGCCTGCGCATCCGCTCAGTCTGATCAGGATCCATGCTGTTCGCTATCAGTTTCTCTACTTGTAATAGACTTGGTAAGCGAACAGCATGAATCCTGATCAGACTGCGCGGATGCGCAGGCTGGTCTGGATCCATGCTGGTCGCAAATCCATTATGTTGGTTTTGTCATGACGCGGCTCAAATGTATAAATGTTCATAGTAAATCATTATCAACTCTGTCAACGATATTGTTTTTCAAGAAATATTTTGATAACAATTAATACAATTGATACTGTTTTTTTTCAATTGTATTTAATCGATATTTGAAATACTTGACAATTGTAGACAAATCCACTTTAAACCTCGAGACTGATATTGTATACATACACTTATACAAACACTATTGTATCATTTCCAAATACCCGAATATTTTATCTTCAAAATAGTGGGCCATGGACTGTAACCGATTTAATCAACCCATCAGAAATGTAATATATAACCAGGAAGTTAAAATACCAGCAAACTTTATAAGGAGATTTTTTTTTTATATTGCTAAATAGTAATAAACATTTAGTCAAATAATTTGACACCCGTATTGATATCAAAGTTCAGCCAGTGCAGGTTTTTATTTTTTTTCCTCCATATATTTTACAGCCAAATAAAGGCTAAAAGAATAATTTTCCCTAGCCCAAAATAAGTATATTTCCCCCCCCCCCCCCCCCCAAAAAAAATGCTGATATTTTCCCTTATAAATGCTATAATTTCCCCTAAAAATGCCTTATTTTCCCCTAAATATGCTACCCGGTATATTGTCCCCTAAAAATGCTATTTTTTCCCTAAAAATGCTAATATACCTTTTCCCATAAAAATGTTATATTTTCCCCTAAAAATGCTATATTTTCTCCTAAAAATACTATATTCCGCCCCAACCCCCCACAAATGCTAATAATTTTCCCCTAAAAATGCTATATTTTCCCCTCAAAATGCTATATTTTCCCTTCTAAATGCTATATTTCCCTGTTCTACCTCAGTAATGATGTGGTGCCTGTTATATAATAATATATAAGTGATACATAGTTTATGCAATTTAAATTGTATTTTATATTTTTTCAGCTGACTGGGTCTGGAGATGGGAAAGAATATTCCAGTGCGAGGCAGAACTTTTCTGGTGATAATTTCATAGAAACAACCCATTTACTGAACGGCTTCAAGGAGCCTGTCAATCAACAGTGGAAAACTAAACATGTAGGTTATTAAAGCAGCACATTAATTTTCTAAGAATTTTTAGAGATCTTGACAGCTCAGTGTTTTTTTACTTTATATAACTACTACCCTAAAACGGTACTGTTCCCAAGAGAAAATATACATTAAAATTACCTATTTCCAATGTTTAAATTCCCAAAATGGCTGTTCAAAATTTCCACAAGGCCAAGTGATTTCTCTGAAATATCTAAATCCAACATAAGTCATCACTCAATAGTTCTACCTGGACAGTGGAAGCTGTTAGCTATCTTTATTCATGATGACTAATCTTATTTGTATCACAAAATATGCATAAAAAAAAGTTCCCAATTTAAGCCAAAATAACGCATTTTTTCCCAATCAGTCTGGTACCGGCACCATTCCCAAAGTACAGGGGTGAAAAAACGCTGCAGCTATATAGATACATTTTCAGTAGGCAATATGGAGCTTCCATGATCCTGATGGCATAGATTTATGCCTCCCCTCGTGGCTGAGGAGTTGCCTTCAAGGTAAATGGGGTTCGAACTACTGGAGTCTATGCATATCTCTTACCTCCAGCAGGTAAGGTAGTGGTTTTGACCCCTGGTGTTGCTTTGAAGTTTGTTACACCAGAGGTGAGCCTCGATCATCTTTCCTTGTTTCAGCGCCATATGACCTATACTGTGTTGGTGCGTTATAAAACCAATTAAAACAAAATCTAAATTTTGTCAATTTTTGATGAAAAAAAAAACCTGAAAAAAATTTAATGGCCCATTATGCCTCCGAAATGCTTTTTGATTTCATTTCTCAAAAGCCTTTCACTATTTGAGCCGCGTCATGACAAAACCAACATAATGGCTTTGCTACCAGTCTGATCAGGATCCATGCTGTTCGCTATCCGTTTCTCTACTTGTTAAACAGTTTGTATGCGAACAGCATGGATCCTGATCAGACTGCGCTAATGCGCAGGCTGGTCTGGATCCATGCTGGTCGCAAAGCCATTATGTTGGTTTTGTCATGACACGGCTCATTTATGTACTTTTATAGTTGGCTAATTGAGCCTGTATTATTGTTTACAGAATAGCATTGGATGTTCTTCCTCCAGCTTTTGAAAAAGTTGTGAATTTACCTTTCAAGTAATGACTTTACTGGGAATTGAATTAAAGAAATAAAAAATAAAATGATTACAACAGTTGGTGAATTCTTTCCTATATATATTTTAGAAATCAGAAGCTAACCGTGATGGAACCATGAAAATATGCTACAAGAGTTCATCTGTTCAAACAGGTATTTTTATCTTCTTATATTTTTTGCGATATCATGAGCCGCGTCTGATCAGGATCCATGCTGTTCACTTACAAACCCTATTAACAAGTAGAGAAACTGATAGCAAACAGCTGTTACGATTCATTTGAAAAACTGCAATCCTATTGGACAAAAAAATAATTTTAAACACTCAGTAAGTATAAAGTAAACATGCTTTGACTTCACACAAAGTAGATATGTATTGTTTAAAATTCTGTGAATAGAGAGCGTCACTTTTATTGACCAGCTTCCCAAACGTAGTTTATTTCTTTTTTTTATTCAAATTAGACATATTCATTAAAAATTTAATTGATTTTAATTATTTTCTCTGATAAAAATATTTTAATCAAGACTGAGCATAATATATCTTTAAGAATTCTTAGAGAACTTGACAGCTATAAAGATAATTTTTCGAAGGCTATCTGGAGCTACCTTGACCCTGTTTCCCTTTTTTTTCCAACAAATTTCTTTAGTACACTTTATTTATTCCATAAGTGAAAAATACAAATACAAAGAGTTGATCCAACAATTTTTAAAGCCCTATTTTATAAAAAAAAAACAAATTGATTTATGTTCTATTGGTTAGCTTCATTTTCAAGTGAAAAATAAAAAAAAAATTCCAAAAAATTTGACTTAGAAATAAAGATATTTACATCTGAACTGTGACCTACAAATGAGCCGCGCCATGACAAAACCAACATAATGGGTTTGCAACCAGCATGGATCCAGACCAGCCTGTGCATCCGCGCAGTCTGATCAGGATCCATGCTGTTTGCTATCAGTTTCTCTATTGGTTATAGGGTTTGTAAGCGAACAGCATGGATCCTGATCAGACTGCGCGGATGCGCAGGCTCTGGTCTGGATCCATGCTGGTCGCAAACCCATTCTGTTGGTTTTGTCATGGCGCGGCTCAAATGATAGAGTGATAATCAGTTTATAAATAGCACAAAATCGGTTTTCAGTAAAAGCTAAAATTAGCGTCCACCTTAAATTCAAGTAGCGTAATGAATTTTTTTGAGATTTCCCGTAAAATTCCTATTAAACGCCCCTGGAGGCTAAACATTTTCCAAAAGGGGGGCTATTATAACAACACAGTTTTTCCTAAATCCAAAATCACTGTAAATACATTTAGTATCAGCAAGTGTTGGTAATAACATTAAAAAGTGTTAAGGTTTTAAAGTTCATATTATACATATTTGTGTTTACTATAAAATAAAATGGATTCTGAATGATATGAATAAAATTATGGCTTTAATTATGAGTTCTGAACTGATGAGTAGATCGTTTTCCTTATCAAAAGGCATGGGGGGGGGGGCGTTTATTAGGGGAGGGGCGTTTATTAGGAATTTTACGGTAGTAAAAAAATGCATATGGAAAGTGTGATTAGTTCTTGTTAGTAGTTTAGAGAAATTTTGATTTTCTAACAGTTAATCATGAGAGAGGCACCGCACAAGTTTATGCAATTGATAATGCAAATATGAATAAACATTTGAGCCACGCCATGACAAAACCGACATAGTGCGTTTGCAAACAGCATGGATCCAGACCAATCTGCGCAGTGTTCACTTGCAAACCCTATTATAAGTTAAGAAACTGATTGCAAACACCATGGATCCTGATCAGACTGTGCAGATGCCCAGGCTGGTCTGGATCCATGCTGGTTGCAAACGCACTATGTTGGTTTTGTCATGGCGTTGGCTCAAATTTTGTATGCACACCTAATTATAGATAGACCTATTTATAGACTTGGGTTTTTGAAAGCCAATGTGAAAGTTACTTCTTTAAAAAAAAATTAAAAAAATAAAAGTTAAAAAAAAATTATATAAATTAATTTTTGCATAACTTTAATAATGGTTCAAATCAAATAAATGATTTATAAACACCTTGGACGAAAATTTTGTGTTTGAAATTTATTTGTTTTTTTTTTTTGTTTATTTATCTGACATTATTTCTTGATATGTACTTTTAATGGATGCAGAAGCATATAATTATGTAAAAAAAAAAAGGCTAGACAAAAACAAAATATGTTCATAAATTAATTAAATGTGAAATAAATATACAGATGATATTTAACAGTCGTGCCTAAGGCTAGTTTCTGTCATAAAAAAAAGTACAAGCTCTTCAGTTTGAAAGGATTATAAAGTAGAAATTTAAACTACATGTGTTGTGTAATGTTTCATAATTTAAAAGTGGAGATCTTTTTCCTTTACATTATACAGGATTTTATCAGGGTATAAAGTAGTTTTGCATAGGTTTATTTTTCTACAAGGATCTTTGCATAGGTTTATTTTTCTACAAGGATCTTTGCATAGGTTTATTTTTCTACAGGGATCTTTGCATAGGTTTATTTTTCTACAAGGATCTTTGCATAGGTTTATTTTTCTACAAGGAACTTTGCATAGGTTTATTTTTATGCCCCCGCCATGTAATGGCCGGGGCATATAGTGTTACCCTGTTCCGTCCTTCCGTCCTTCCGTCATTCCGTCCTTCCGTCATTCCGTCATTCCGTCCTTCCGTCATTCCGTCATTCTGTCATTCCGTCATCATCAGTTTCCGTTCATTATCTTAGTAACGGTTGCACATATTCAACTCAAATTTGACATATGGATATGTCATGAAAAAATACAGGTCAAGTTCGAATTTGGTCATGGTTCGATGATTTTTGGCAGAGTTATGCCCCTTTTACTTTGAAAATAATATGAAATTTTCAGTTTCCGTTCATTATCTCCCCAACGGTACAACACATTCAATTCAAATTTGACATATGGATATGTCATGAGAAAATACAGGTCAAGTTCGAATTTTATCATGGTTCAACGATTTTTGGCAGAGTTATGCCCCTTTTACTTTGAAAATAATATGAAATTTTCAGTTTCCGTTCATTATCTCCCCAACCGTACAACACATTCAACTCAAATTTCACATATGGATATGTCATGAGAAAATACAGGTCAAGTTCGAATTTGGTCATGATTCGATGATTTTTGGCAGAGTTATGCCCCTTTTACTTTGAAAATAATATGAAATTTTCAGTTTCTGTTCATTATCTCCCCAACGGTACAACACATTCAACTCAAATTTGTCATATGGATATGTCATGAGAAAATACAGGTCAAGTTTGAATTTGGTCATGGTTCGAAAATTTTTGGCAGAGTTATGCTCCTTTTACTTTGAAAATAATATGAAATTTTCAGTTTCTGTTTATTATCTCCCCAACAGTACAACACATTCAACTCAAATTTGACATATGGATATTTTTTTGGAATGCCAAGGTCAAGTTCGAATTTGGTCATGGTTCAATAATTTTTGGCAGAGTAATGCCCTTTTCACTTTGAAAAAAATATGAAATTTACAGTTTCTGTTCATTATCTACCAAACAGTGTTACATATTCAACTCAAATTTGACATATGGATATGTCAAAGGAATGGGCAGGTCAAGTTGGAATTTGGTCATGGTTCGATGATTTTTTGGCAGAGTTATGTCCCTTTCACTTTGAAAATAATATAGATACATCTTAGGAATAGACAGTTTAAGTTTGAATTTGGTCGTGGTTCAATGATTTTGGACAAACTTATCTTTCTTGAATATTGGAAAAAATTTTGAACTTTCAGTTTCAGCACTGACATACTTTTGTGGAAATGTATGTAGCCATTATTTTGGCTACAAATATGAAATATGCTATTTTCAAAAGGATAAGACTGAATAATTTCAGTGCCTTGAACATTGTATGAAAATGGTTTGTGTTAACATTGAAAAGTTTTAAGGGCTTTGAACTTAAAATGAAAACAATAATTTGTGCAAACAAATTTGGAACTAAATATAATAACATCTGAAATTTTGGCTGCATGCGGGGGCATCCGTGGCATGATGACACATTTCTAGTTTTACAAGGATCTTTGCATAGGTTTATTTTTCTACAAGGATCTTTGCATAGGTTTATTTTCTACAAGGATCTTTGCATAGGTTTATTTTTCTACAAGGATCTTTGCATAGGTTTATTTTTTTCTACAGGATCTTTGCATAGGTTTAATTATCTACAGGGATCTTTGCATAGGTTTATTTTCCTACAAGGATCTTTGTTTAGGTTTATTTTCCTACAGGGATCTTTTCATAGGTTTATTTTTCTACAGGGATCTTTGCATAGGTTTATTTTTCTACAGGGATCTTTGCATAGGTTTATTTTTCTACAAGGATCTTTGCATAGGTTTATTTTTCTACAGGGATCTTTGCTTAGGTTTATTTTTTCTACAGGGATCTTTGCATAGGTTTATTTTTACAAGGATCTTTGCATAGGTTTATTTTTCTACAGGGATCTTTGCATAGGTTTATTTTTCTACAGGGATCTTTGCATAGGTTTATTTTTCTACAGGGATCTTTGCATAGGTTTATTTTCTACAAGGATCTTTGCATAGGTTATAATTTTCTACAAGGATCTTTGCATAGGTTTATTTTTCTACAAGTGTCTTTGCATAGATTTATTTTTTCTACAGGGATCTTTGCATAGGTTTATTTTTCTACAGGGATCTTTGCATAGGTTTATTTTTCTACAAGGATCTTTGCATAGGTTTATTTTCCTACAAGGATCTTTGCATAGGTTTATTTTCCTACAAGGATCTTTGCATAGGTTTATTTTTCTACAGGGATCTTTGCATAGGTTTATTTTTCTACAGGGATCTTTGCATAGGTTTATTTTTCTACAAGGATCTTTGCATAGGTTTATTTTTCTACAAGGATCTTTGCATAGGTTTATTTTTCTACAGGGATCTTTGCATAGATTTATTTTTCTACAGGGATCTTTGCATAGGTTTATTTTCCTACAAGGATCTTTGCATAGGTTTATTTTTCTACCAGAAACATTGGTTATGTTTAGCATAGGTTTATTTTTCTACCAGAAACATTGGTTATATTTTTAGCATAGGTTTATTTTTCTACCAAAAACATTGTTTATATTTTTAGCATAGGTTTATTTTCAACAAAGAATATTGGTTAAGAGATAGGTTTATTTTTAGGATAGGTTTATTTTTCCTCAAAGGTGATATTGTTTACGTAGGTTTATTTTTCTTCAAGAACTTTTGGTTACATAGTTATAATTACACCCGTATTTCTTCAAGAATCATTGGTAACATTGGCTAAATTTCTTGTCTACATTGCAATAATTGGTTACATGGGTTTATTTTTCTACAAGGGTCCTAATGGTTCCATATTCTTTACATAGGTTTATTTTTCTCAAAAGATAAGTTTATTTTTCACAAAAGATAGGTTTATTTTTCTACGAAGATCATTAAATACATCGTTAGTATTTTTATAAGGTTTATTTTTCGACAAAAAATAGATTTTATTTTTTCTACAATGTTGATTTTCTTAAAGGGTTGTAAGCCAACTTGTTGAAATTTTTGGATAGATTAAATTCTCTCATCTTAGTACAGAAATGGGTAAACTCCTTATATGATTTGATAGGAGTTAACCTGTTATTGCACTAAGATTACAATGTATTCCCAAATTTTAACTTTTATTTCTGTTAACTTGTGGAAAATACTTGGCCGACATTAATATTATTTTTGCAAAATTTTCAAAATTGGGACATTAGAGCAAAATTAAATCCTTCGGGAAAATCAATGATTTGACGGTATTTTTGTATTTTTTTGCAGATTTAAAAGCAAAATTAAATCCTTTGAGAAAATCAATGATTTGACGGTATTATTGTATTTTTTGCAGATTTAAAAGCAAAATTAAATCCTTCGGAAAAATCTTTGATTTGACGGTATTTTTGTATTTTTTTGCAGATTTAAAAGCAAAATTAAATCCTCCGAGAAAATCAATGATTTGACGGTATTATTGTATTTTTTGCAGATTTAAAAGCAAAATTAAATCCTTGGAAAAATCAATGATTTGACCGTATTTTTTTTTCTTCTCAGATTTTCCGGAGCACATCGCCAGCGCAACATTGGAAGAATTACCAAACACCTTGTATAATAATGGTCAAGTGGCTTATAAAGACCATCATAAACCTGGCAGCAGACGGTCACGTCATTCATCGAACCGGAGCGCGTCCGACATCGACACTGAGGACGGTATGTTACTAGGACGTAACACCGTCTCCAACGGTACCAATCCGTCGACCGAGTTCACTGAAGGTATCTGTGTAGCCAGCCTGGCTGTATCTGATAACCAATTTAGTCACATGACCAATAACTCTGGTTCGTTATCTACTGCTTATACTGTGTATTCTGGTGCCCCAGGGTTCAAAGGTCAGGGTCACAATGAAAGTTCGAGTACTATGCATGGTACGGTAAATTCGGTGCCTTATTTAAATGATAGTGGTGTAGAGCCTACGTTTAGGCGGTCTTATGCAAGTATTGCTCAAACAAACCCTAGTCAGACTCATAAACAAAACTTGGTTGCCGCGGCAACCGATCAAGGTGAACAGGCCATCTGTGATAATAGTGTTACTGTAAATAGAACTACGTCCGCTAAAAAGTATGTGAAAGAGAGTAGTAGGTCGGCATCTAGGATTGGCAATGTGAACGTTAATGTCGCGGAAATTATGCAGGATTTGGAGCGGGCAGATAAAAAACTTGAAGACTCGGCATTTAATTCGGAAAACGCATATCAAAAACAACATGGTGAGAGTGAAACGGGACCTGTCAAGTTTCTGTATAGCGCTGCCGTCAAAGAATTGCCAAAGGCAGAAAATCATATATCAAATGTGTCAACAATTAGTCAGGTATCACAGAGAAGTTCAAAGGTCAATGAACATAAAGGTCATTTGACCAATTCTCATTGTGTCTATTTGGGAAATGAACGAAAGTCGGGAGAGACTGAAATGAAAAGTCATCATGGTGTCCATCAAAAGTCACAGTTAAAAGGTCATCCGCAGGTTAATGTGAGTGGACAGGTCAAAGGTCATGCGCCCCAGCAGGTCAAAGGTCAAAACTTTTTCAGTGATAGCAATAAATCAGATATTGACCTTGATAGGAAAGGTCATTCCCTAAGTGATAATAATAACAACAATCAGGGCGACGGAGAAGGGAAGAAGAAAAAGCGTCGCCGACGGCGACGGAAGAAGAAAACAGGGGAGGTAACTGCTGAAAATGAGGAAACTGTTGGTGCTTCAGAGGAGATAACCCTTCATTTTGAAGACGAGGAGGAGTTTCCGGATTTATCCGGTTGTGGCGGTGGGTGCCATCCCGCAATTTCTAGTCAGTTTCCTGCGGCCACCATGTCATACAGTGATATCATCAATAATGCTGTAAGTATTACATTTATAATTATGATATAGCCTTAAAGGCACATTATGCCTCAGAAATTATTATATTTTTATTTCTTTAGAAAGGGCAACCATGAGTAGTATACTGTTTAAATAATGGTTTAAGAAAATTTTAAATGCTTCCTACCTGAGGACAGTAGCTCTAATTATTCAGTTATTTATCATAAATTTACCAAAATGTAAACATAGTAGTATTTTGACTTCCATACAAAATTCTCGGTCACTAAAACTTTTCTAATTGCCAAAAAGCTGGCTAATGAACTTTTTTTAAACTATTAATATACACAAAAAATAAAAATATTTTTAGAAATAAAAAATAAAAGCATTTCTCAGGCATAATGGGCCTTTAAAAAAAAAAATTAACACTGTGAGATCATACTTGTATGTAATTTACTCAATATGTACAGTAGAACTTCTATGTGTCAAACCTGTAATGCCTTATTGTACCGTAAAAACTTCTATGTGTTGAACTTCGATAAGTAGATTTTCTCGATGGGTCGAATTTGTAATGAATCATTATATACAGTAAAACTTCTATGTGTCGAACTTAGATTAATAATGTATTCAAGTAAAATGAAAGTCTTGATATTTTTTTTCCCATTATATTCTTTATAATTTAATTTACCAATATATGAGTTAAATTTTTATGTGTTGATATTTTCGATATGTCAAAGTTTTTACTTGGTCCGTAAGGAATAATTCGAGAACATTTTACCATAACGAAGTCTCTGTCCCACCGATTTGACACTTTTGATCTCGAGATACTTATCACACCTTTTCTAGCAGCGAAGATAATTGCAGATCAATGGTGTTAAATACAAGACCGTGTGTTCTAACAGCCTTTATATGCGTTCCTGTGTGTAAAAATATACTATTTGTTATCATTCAAATTTACGTAATAGACAGTACGAATATTTAGTTTCCTTTATAAGCTTGTTTTGTATTGCCCTTTCCTTTTATTTGCCCATCGCTTTCATTACACCTTTTGTAACTTGCTTGTATTTTATGTCAACGGCTTGAAAATTTGTCATTTAATCGTTTTGCATGAGTCCCTTCAGCTTCCACATATCGGAGTTCTACTGTATAAATGACGGTTTCTCATGTCTCAAGTCATTTTGATAATAACTTGTCACTTTAGTGCAATAACTGATTAACTGCTGTTTACTTTAGAAGGACTTAAACTGTTATTTCACCAAGGTGATACCTATTTATTATGAATTTTCATTAAACAATTATTGTGACAAAAAAATTTTTTTATGCCCCCGCCATGTAATGGCCAGGGCATATAGTGTTACCCTGTTCCGTCATTCCGTCCTTCCGTCCTTCCGTCCTTCTGTCATTCCGTCATCATCAGTTTCCGTTCATTATCTTATCTTAAGAACGGTTGCACACATTCAACTCAAATTTGACATATGGATATGTCATGAGAAAATACAGGTCAAGTTCGAATTTGGTCGTGGTTCGATGATTTTTGGCAGAGTTATGCCCCTTTTACTTTGAAAATAATATGAAATTTCAGTTTCCGTTCATTTTCTCCCCAACGGTACAACACATTCAACTCAAACTTGACATATGGATATGTCATGAGAAAATACAGGTCAAGTTCGAATTTGGTCATGGTTCGATGATTTTTGGCAGAGTTATGCCCCTTTTACTTTGAAAATAATATGAAATTTTCAGTTTCCGTTCATTATCTCCCCAAAGGTACCACATATTCAACTCAAATTTAACATATGGATATGTCATGAGAAAATACAGGTCAAGTTTGAATTTGGTCGTGGTTCGATGATTTTTGGCAGAGTTATGCCCCTTTTACTTTGAAAATAATATGAAATTTTCAGTTTCCGTTCATTATCTCCCCAAAGGTACAACACATTCAACTCAAACTTGACATATGTATGTGTCAAAGGAATGTGCAGGTCAAGTTCAAATTTGGTCATGGTTCAATGATTTTTGGCAGAGTTATGCCCCTTTCACTTTGAAAGTAATATGAAATTTTCAGTTTCCGTTTATTATCTCCCCAATGGTACAACACATTCAACTCAAATTTGACATATGGATATGTTTCTGGAATGCCCAGGCCAAGTTTGAGTTTGGTCATGGTTCAATGATTTTTGGCAGAGTAAAGCCCCTTTCACTTTGAAAATAATATGAAATTTACAGTTTCTGTTCATTATCTACCCAACAGTGTTACATATTCAACTTAAATTTGACATATGGATATGTCAATGGAATGGGCAGGTCAAGTTCGAATTTGGTCATGGTTTAATGATTTTTGGCAGAGTAATGCCCCTTTCACTTTGAAAATAATATGAAATTTACAGTTTCTGTTCATTATCTACCCAACAGTGTTACATATTCAACTCAAATTTGACATATGGATATGTCAATGGAATGGGCAGGTCAAGTTGGAATTTGGTCATGGTTTGATGATTTTTTGGCAGAGTTATGTCCCTTTCACTTTGAAAATAATATAGATACATCTTAGGAATAAGCAGTTTAAGTTTGAATTTGGTTGTAGTTCAATGATTTAAGACAAACTTATCTTTCCTGAATGTTGGAAAAATTTTGAACTTTCACTTTCAGCACTCTTACTTTGAGCCATTATTTTGGCTACAAATATGCAATATGCTATTTTTAAAAGGTTTAGACTGAATAATTTCAGTGCCTTGAACATTGTATGAAAATGGTTTGTGTTAACATTGAAAAGTTTTAAGGGTTTTGAACTTAAAATGAAAAAAATAATTAAAGCACCATCTGAAATTTTGGCTGCATGCGGGGGCATCCGTGGCATGATGACACATTTCTAGTTTGACTTTATTATAATATATAAATTATATGGGGCTCTTTTTCGGCCCAAAAACTGCGTAAAAAATTACTTAGATTTGTCATATTACAAATAGAGATCGAAAATTCCACTCATTAGCTCGTTACTACTAGTAGAATATAAGAGAACTCAATGCAGGACGAGTAGAAAAAAATGTAGCCTGCACATTGGATTTAGTTTAGCAAATCGTCCGGGACAAGTGGCTCTGAAAATATTTTTCGATGTCTGACAAAAAAAAAAAAAAATTAAGAAAGGAATGCAAAATGTCAACCATGACATGACTATGTTAAATTTTAAATACATATATATTACAGTATGTCAACAAAATATGTTTAAACTACTTCTTTACATGTTAAGATAGTCAATTTTAACACTTGTGACCGAAATGACCTGTGGCAGTTTATATAACACAATAATTTGTGGTTAAAATACTGTGAAAGGTATTTTAATTTGTCAAGTCAGAAAATGTATGTCAGTGGGTGTTTTTTTTTTTAATGCCCCTCAAATTGGGAAGGCAATTATATGAGCCGCATCACGTCAAAACCAACATAGCGGGTTTGCTACCAGCATGGATCCAGACCAGCCTGCGCACCCGCACAGTCTGATCAGGATCCATGCTGTTCGCTATCAGTTTCTCTACTTGTTATAGGGTTTGTAAGGGAACAGCATGGATCCTGTCAGACTGTGCGGATGAGCAGGCTGGTCTGGATCCATGTTGGTCGCAAACGCACTATGTTGGTTTTGTCGTGACACGGCTCATATATGATTTGTAGCGTCCATCTGTCCTGTAATCCTTCCGTCCGTCTCTCCTGTAATTCTTCCGTCAGTCTCTGTTCATACTTTCTTTGTTTCGTAGCTTTGTCATTTGTTAATGGATTTTAAGATAATTTGGTATAGAATGTTAAAGCCATTTAGGGCAATATGTCATGCACAAGATAAAGGTCTGAAACTCAGAGGTCAAGGTCAGACTCTCGACTTCAAAGAAACATTTTTATACAAATGCTCTGATGGACGTGTCTCAGACCAGTGATTTTGATATTCATGGATGGATTTGAAAATTATAATGAGTATATGAGCCATGTCACGACAAAAACCAACATAATGGGTTTGCGACCAGCATGGATCCAGACCAACCTGCGCATCCGCACAGTTTGATCAGGATCCATGTTGTTCGCTATCAGTTTCTCTACTTGTTATAGGGTTTGTAAGCGAACAGCATGGATCCTGATCAGACTGGGCGGATGAGCAGGCTGGTCTGGATCCATGTTGGTTGCAAACCCATTATGTTGGTTTTGTCGTTACGGGGCTCATATGTGTTGAACAAAATGATGATGTGTCAGGCACGTGCCATCAGGTCCCTACCTAAAGTTCTACTTATTGCGATCATGCTATATATTTGTATTGTATTTATATTTTCAGAATACATGTAATGTGCAATCTACAAAAACCATATCTCCAGACGAGCAATTTTCTCCAGACACTGCAGGTAAATCTTTAAACCATTCTCTGTCTCAATTGAGAAAGAAAATTTTCAAAGCAGTCAAAGTACCTGTTTATGTTATGATGCCATTGGCACAACTATAAACCAGTCTCCTTTAAAATACCGTAGGTAAAACTATAAACCGGTCTATGTAACTGCCATAATTATGTAAACCTGTAAAGCAGTCTGTAGCATATTACCATGATGAGGTAAAACTATAAACCAGTCTATGTAAATTAAGTTAATTATGTAAACCTGTAAAGCAGTCTGTAGCATATTATCATTATAAGGTAAAACTATAAACCAGTCTATGTAAATTAAGTTAATAATGTAAACCTGTAAAGCAGTCTGTAGCATATTATCATTATAAGGTAAAACTATAAACCAGTCTATGTAAATTAAGTTAATTATGTAAAACAGTCTAAGCATGTTAAACTATTAAACCAGTCTCTTTACAAAAATACCATAGGTAAGACCATCGGCAAGGTAAAGACATCTAATTCATTTCTTTAAATCGATTTGTATAATTATGATCATGAATAAAAAGTCTAGAAATCAGGGAAGAAAATTGGTATTTGTCTATTTTTGTGATCAAGATTTCTGCAAGCGTCTAGAGGTACTGCACTAAATCTGTATTGAGTTAAATCCTATGAAAACCTGCATACATGTACTTGCCCAGTCTATGAAATTAGGGTTTAAAAATTGTTGTCATTCGGGCCGCCAATTCAAGAAAATCTGGTTGCCCGAATTTTTTCATCAGAACATCTCCAAGCAATTATTGATCAAATCTGCAATCTTATCTTCAGTGAGAAACAGTCATAAATGTAGGCAAACTAATTGTATTTGATATCTTGAATTTTATCCCTATTCGTTAAGATTTTGATGAATTTTTTTTGCAAATTTTTACTTGTCCATTGGACAAGTAAACTTTTAAAAATTGGTTGTCCGGACCAAAAACCGGTTGTCTCGGGCAATAGGACAACTGATAATTTCGCAAACTGCTTGCCCCAAGCTTCCAGTTAATGACGTTCTTGTAATTTATTTTATTAAGGTACGTCTTCTGTGAAGGAGAGCCGAAGTTCACGAAAGCGACGGAAAAGACGAGAGGTTGCAAACAAGGCTGCCGACGCAGAAATGGCTGAAATAAACCTTGAGCAGCATATGCTTGAGTTGAAGATGAAGCAAAAGTTGCCACTTGCGGCAAAGAAATCGGTCTCGCCAGTACGGAATGCTCCGTCACAGGGAGTGTGGAAGGTATATAAATATTACAGCTAGTGAAAGATTGTTGGCTTTAAGTCTCAGGCCCTCACCTGTTGTTGGGTTCGAATACGGCCAGGATTGTTCTATGTGAGGAGGATTATTATCCAGCTAGCTTACTAAACATTGGTGGTCATAGCCGGAATTCGGCTGGTGTCTGAAATAATTAAGTTACATAGTATATCTCTTGCGTATCAGACAGGATAAGAAATCCACAATTTATGACCCAATCGAAATTGCCTTTTGCCGGATTAAAATGATTTCACAGTATTTAGTTTTGTGATCTACCTGTATATTGTTGTTTGTGATCTACCTGTATATTGTGGGCAACAACCTTCTAGTTAGATCTCTATATTTTATAGTTACGCATTATTTTTCAGCTAACCCCATCTAGTCCCGCCTCCCAGTCGTCCTCCACTGGGAAGAAGGTTTCCTTGTTGTTGCCAGGTACCGTGGCAACGGAGCCATCCCATAATTCCAGCCCACACCAGCCAAATACCTCTGCTGTCCGACAGCCAGGTTTGTATACTTTGTTTTTTTTTCTATGAAACTTTGGGGGTGGGGTACAGGTTTTGGGGGGGGGGGGCTAACACCTTGCCTAAGTAATCTTATGTGCAATTATTATTAGAAAATGGAGTGCTCATGTGGATCAACCAGGCGTCGCCCTTTGGACTCACTCTTTGATAAGTAGCGTGGTATTATAATAAATTTGAAACAATGTGGCAATATGGGAATATTTGCCCTCGCAAATTACTTCAAAGTGTCGATTTCACAAAAGTTTGGCTGAGCAAATATTACTAAATTTAGGGTACATAGCTGATATTATCACATCAATTTTACTGGAGTACATAAAATTTTTAATGACAAGGGGCTCTTTAAATTTTTTTTTTTCTTTTCACTGAAAACTTGTTACTTGTGTTTTTGGTTTTCAGGTATTTTTGAAGACTTCTCAGGCCACGCCCCAGCACAACAGTCTTCTGCTGCTCAAAGTGGTAAAAAATCTAAACAGCCAATAACCTACGACTTTGGTGCCTTAATTGATGCGCTCGAGGTAAGGCATAGGAAAAAAAATATGTTTGTTTTGGTAACATCTCCTAAAAAATGATGTGTCAGTAGGGGGGGGCTTTTTTTAGTGGTAAGGTATGATTCAGCATCGATTCCATTACACCCAGACCTGGTTGGTAAAATTATTGATTTTTTTTTTTTTTTGTAAAGTCTGTAAAAATTTGTGTGTATGAGTTTTGTTAACCTCGCCACACTGGAAAGAGACCATATGGTTGAGTAGTCTGTAAAAAGTTGCGGTGCAGGGGAAAAATTAAGCTGACAGGTCGGGTTACCAGAAACAAACTTAATTTTTTTTTTTAGGCCTAATGTATGTTTTGTTATTTGTACATTTTCATTTTAACTTTTGCTGGCCATGCAATTGGCACATTTTCCATAAGTATTTCTAATATTTATAAAAAAAAATTATGCACGCTTTTTTTATGGAATTTTGTTTTTTCTTTTACAGTCAAAGAAGGAGCAGACACCACCCCCCAAGAAAGATGCGAAGCCGGTCGTTGCTAAAAAAGATGAATTAAAATCAGTAAGTATTCTAAAGTTTACTAGAGGAAATTGTATGAAAAAAGGTTTAATACTGAATTTATTTAAAGGCTCATTATGTTTGTTTTTGCTAAAAAAGATGAATTAAAATCAATAAGTATTATTTTCTACAGTTTACTAGAGGAAAATGAATGAAAATAGGTTCAATACTGAATTTATTTAAAGGCCCATTATGCCTTCAGAATTGCTTTTCATTCTTATTTCTCAAAAACTGTTTATTTTTCTTGTCTTGTTACAGTCTCCCATAACATGCTCATTAACTATAAACATTAAAGCATCATAAACAGTGAAAAACCTCTTATTTTCAAAGATTTTAGAGTTTGTTATTCAATAATTTTTTTTGTAAATTTCATTTGGGAAAAAATTTCCAGTGGATTGGGAAAATTATATACTATTTTTAGTTGGGATATGACTGAATATAAAAATAAGCCGAAAAAATCCCTGTTATATATGAACTCTCTTTTACTTCTTTTGCTCTAATGGCAATTGTATAATCATAAGTGAGTATTTTGTATGGAAGTCACAATACTACTTTGTTTACATTTCGCTATCTTTACAACACATTACCCCCATGTTCAACGCTACTTTCTTCAATTGTTAAACATCTAACATGCTCTAAATCCATTATGAAAACATATTTAAACGCATGTTTGTCAGTTCTAAAGAATTGAAAAAATTTCTGAGGCATCAATGTGCCTTTAAACCATGTAAACCAGAAATAATAATAACTTAGCTAGAGAAATCTTGTTAAAAAATTATCAACTAACCGGAAATAAAGAACTCCTTTTGTCTATTTTTAAAACTCCTTTTGTCTATTTTTAACTCCTTTAGTTTATTTTAAACTCCTTTTGTCTATCTTTAACTCCTTTAGTTAATTTTTCTCTCCATTTGTCTATTTTTTTACAGCTTAATGCCTTAGATTCCAGTGCACCAGCCATAAAGAGAGGTAAAGAAAGAGAGACGGCCAAAAATAAAGAAACCCAGTCCACTGAAGAAGGTAAGATGTCTTGCCCTCATTTGTAGTCCTTATTAGCTCACCTGTCACAAAGTGACAGGGTGAGCTTTTGTGATCGCTTTTCGTCCGGCGTCCGTCGTAAACTTTTTTATACTTTAAATGACAACTCCTCATAAACCACTAGGCCAATTTCATCCAAACTTCACAGGAGTGTTTCTTTTGGTGGTCACTTTAAAAATTGTTCAAAGAATTTAATTCTATGCAGAACTCTGGTTGCCATGGCAACCGAAAGAAAAAACTTAAAATATCTTCTTTATAAAAACCCAAAGAGGTAGAGCTTAGATATTTGGCATGAAACATCTTCTAGTCAGTGATCTACCAAGTTTGTTCAAATATAAGCCCTGGGGTCAAATTGGCCCCGCTCCAGGGGGTCATTGATTTTCCCTATATGCATATAGTAAAACCTTAAAAAATTTCTTCTTTTAAAAACCCAAAGAGGTAAAGCTTAGATATTTGGCATGAAACATCTTCTGTCAGTGTCTACCAAGCTTGTTCAATTAAAAGCCCTGGGGTCAAAATTGGCCCTGCCCCAGGGGGGGGGGTCATTGATTTTTCCCTATATGCATATTGTAAAACCTTAAAAATCTTCTTTCAAAGAACTCAAAGAGCTAGAGCTAAGATATTTAGCTTGAAACATGTTCTAATGGGTGTCTACCCAGTTTGTTCAAATAAAAGCCCTGGGGTCAAAATTGCCCCCGCCCCAGGGGGTCATTGATTTACCTATATGCATATAGTAAAACTTAAAAAATCTTCTTTTAAAAAAACCCAGAGAGCTAGAGCTTAGCTATTAAGCATGAAACATCTTCTAGGGGGTCTAACAAGTTTGTTTTCAAATAAAGCCCTTGGGTCAAAATTGGCCCCGCCCCAGGTGGTCATTGCTTTTCCTTTTATATATATATAGTTAAAACATAAAAAATCTTCTTTTAAAAAATCTTAAGAGCTAGAGCTAAGATATTTAGCATGAAACATCTTCTAATGGGTGTCTACCATTTTTGTTAAATTAAGGGCCCTGGGGTTAAAAAATTGGCCCTCCCCGGGATCATTTATTTTCCTTTTATGTATATTATTATATAGTAAAAAACTTAAAAAATGTTCTGTAAAAAGCCCAAAGAGCTAGAGTTTAGATATTAAACATGAATTATCTTCTAGTGAGTGTTTACCAAGTTTGTTCAAATAAAAAGCCCTGGGGACAAAATTGGCCCGCACAGAGGGGGGGGGGGGGTCATTGTTTTTCACTATATGTGTATAGTAAAAACTTAAAAATTTTCTTAGAGCTAGAGCTTAGATATTTATCATGAAACATTTTCAAATGGGGATCTACCAAGTTTGTTCAAATAAAAGCCCCTGGGTTAAAATTAGCCCCGCCCCGGGGGCCTTTATACAGGTGAGCGATTTCAGGGCCATCATGGCCCTCTTGTTTATAGCCCTCATTTGAAGCCCTCATTTATAACCCTCATTTTAGCGTGATTTAAGTTCATAAGATCATTTTAATATTTTTTTGTCATTAATTTGCCGGAGTATCCCTTTAAAGGGACGCCACTGAGGTTTTTTGACATGATGGGAATGAAAATATCTTTTCCAGATAAATGTTCCATTTGATGTAGGTTTAGAACACTAATCTTTGTACAAAATTTCAGATCATTTGGCACCTCGTTATCTTCCAGAATAATTGTTCTGATTGTAAAAAAATTACCCAAAATGAAAAGCGTTTAAACGCTTTTCATTCAAATCAGGGTAAGAATAGCATAAAAATACGATTTTCAATTTATTTCAAAGTATATTTCTTGACTATATTTGCATATATTTCTGTTAAAAGTGCCCAAGCTCATTCATGTAAGAAATTCAAATGTTGTGTTTTTAGGCTTTTAAACCTCAGTGGAGTCCCTTTAAACCTCAGTGGAGTCCCTTTAAACCTCAGTGGAGTCCCTTTAACTTTACACTATAATTACAGGTTATTCTAAAGGAAAGGGAGGAAAAGAAGAGGCTCAGATTGCTGGATGAGGATGAAGTGGCTTCTGGGTAAATAAATACATTATGTTACCTTTTTTCTGATTGGTTGACTTTGCACTTAAGAAATTTAAACTCTGATTTGATTGGACAATTTTAAAAGGAAATCAGTAAGGTGCAATAATTATTGCATTGGTCAATTTTGAAAGAAATATTTATGTTGTCGGTAATTGAAGTAAGTTGTTAGAATTATAAGTTTGGAGTGGGTCTCTGGTCCAGTTGATAATTTACCTGGACTAGTAATCCAGGGGTTCAAGGTCCTGTTCTGTATTCTGCCACTTAAAGTACTAACGGCCTTTCTGATCGGTTGACTTTGCACTTACGAAATTTAAATTCTGATTTGATTGAACAATTTTAAAAGTAAGGTGCGATTGGATTGGTCAATTTTGAATATATGTATCTTGTCTTTAATTGCTTTTATGATGAGACCACAGAAACCGAGTTGAATAAAGTTATATTGTGAAAGGCTCTGTCGAGCCCTAACATTATTTTATTCAACAAGTTCAATAAATTTAGTATTGAACTTACATGAATGTAATATTCTTTTATATCACATATACTGAAAATAAAGACTGGTTGAAGTGAAAAAGAAATATTTTCAATTGACATGCCTATAGTTTAATGTTAACATTTAGCACATCTAAACGCTATGTTTGTATAATGCAAATGACATCACGTCAAAAAAATATATGAACGACCGAGTAATTTACGGAGTCGTAAAAGCGGCAAGGGTATGTGATGAAAATGGAAATCTTTTCTTTGAGAAGAAATAATGTTGGTGTTATATAGAGATTATTGCTCTATAGGGGTAAAATATAGAGGAAATCTTTACTTTGGGAAGAAATAAAGAGGTAATTGCTTAACCCTTTCCCCCATGAGCATATTGTGAAAAAAGGCCATTTTCACTGAAAAGCCTCCTGTTACAAGTTCAAACTGCTATGAAACTATGAAAAATGCTTCAATACTAATCAAACTTGGCACAAATGTTGACTGGACCATTGCCTTTGTAACGACATGCTCAGTCTTAAATTTCCTGTTACCATGGCAACGAGGGGACATCTCAAAATTGCCAAAAATCACTTTTTTGCCTCCATTTTTTCCATCAAAATTTATTTCAAAGTGCTGCAACTTCTCAAGGGATTGAGATAGAGTCAAAGGCTTTTCAGCGTTGGTTACACGTTACCTTATGATCAACCTGGGGTCATTTTAAGCCTCTCACAAGTCCAAAATTTTCTTGGCGATGAGGGGGACTCCGCCCCCCTTCAAACCCCCCAAACAGAAGGGGGCACATCCCCCTTCTGGCAAGCCCCTGATGTAATATTTGGATGGGGGACGGCGCCGAAAAAATGGTCACTTTTTTTAACAACATTTCTCAAACAAAAGACAGTGTTTGGGGCCTAAATAGGGCATTTTTTCACTGTTTGAGGCCTCAAAAAAAGGGGGGGGGGGCAAAAAGCCGTCGAAACACGCTTATATAAGGGAAAAGGTTAACATAAAATGATGAAAAACCTTGGAATCACCCAAAATCTAGATTTCCCATGTTAACATGTGGTCTTTTACCTAATTTTGGTGAAAAATTGTTGTTTTGTAACATTTATAATTTTTTTAGTTAACCCTTTCCCCCATGAGCATATTGTGAAAAAAGGTCATTTTCACTGAAAAGCCTCCTGTTACAAGTTCAAACTGCTATGAAACTATGAAAAATGCTTCAATACTAATCAAACTTGGCACAAATGTTGACTGGACCATTGCCTTTGTAACGACATGCTCAGTCTTAAATTTCCTGTTACCATGGCAACGAGGGGACATCTCAAAATTGCCAAAAATCACTTTTTTGCCTCCATTTTTTCCATCAAAATTTATTTCAAAGTGCTGCAACTTCTCAAGGGATTGAGATAGAGTCAAAGGCTTTTCAGCGTTGGTTACACGTTACCTTATGATCAACCTGGGGTCATTTTAAGCCTCTCACAAGTCCAAAATTTTCTTGGCGATGAGGGGACTCCGCCCCCTTCAAACCCCCCAAACAGAAGGGGGCACATCCCCTTCTGGCAAGCCCCTGATGTAATATTTGGATGGGGGACGGCGCCGAAAAAATGGTCACTTTTTTTAACAACATTTCTCAAACAAAAGACAGTGTTTGGGGCCCAAATAGGGCATTTTTTCACTGTTTGAGGCCTCAAAAAAGGGGGGGGGGGGGCAAAAAGCCGTCGAAACACGCTTATATAAGGGAAAAGGTTAACAGAGGGTACACTTGAGGATGTTAATTTAGGTTTTGGTTAATGATGGGCAGGTGATTTAAAGTTATAACATTCAATGTGGCTGTAATGAGGGACAGTAGTGAATAACCTCCCCTGAGTACTCCCTATAAATAGATAGGTCCTAAGCTATTGGATTACTCGGACTTTATCGCCTATTTCTTTGTAGCAAAATGAATTAATTAGGGCTAATTATGATCATTTGTAATATTCAGATTAGATATTGCGATAAGATGTAGAATCTGTTGACATAAATTAATCATTTTTTCCTTAAGGTTTACATTATTTGTTGATGCATGTGTAAATAATTGATTAAGACATATCAACCTGTCTTATATAAAACTCAACGATAAAAGCAAAGGATTCCAAATATTTGGACCTACTTACATTTTGGTTGACCTCGGTTTTTATCAAGGGAAGATAATCCACTATTGTCCCCCATTATCATACTTCAAAGTCGAACAGAAGTCTAAATATTCCACTTTAATTTTTTAATCGTTGAAAATTATTGAAAGCGGCCATATTGGAAAGCGGTGTCATGGTAAAATCCATGGTGTAAAACAGGTATCGGCGGCAATCGATTGTATTTGCCAAGCTTTATTATACAATTTGTTTATGTTATTTATATGAATTATTGCAGGAA